TACGTCCTCACCCTTCTTGCAGATCTGATAGCCTTCGGCAAGGCCACGCGAGAAGCGGCGTTCCCAGCCCATGATTTCGGCCCAGGCGCCTTCGTTGAGAAAATTGTGCACGCCGACCATGCTTTCGACGGCCGTGATATCGGTGTCGGTGTAGCCTTTGCGGAGCATGGCGTTGTACATTTGTTGTGGGGAGGGGTATTCCCAGAGGGAACCGTCTCCTTTGGGGATGGTGGAGGTTTCGCGCTCCAGAGGGAGGTTGTGGACTTGTTTGTCTGCACGTTCGTTGGAGAGGTCGGCGAACATGTTGTTGAGGGGGTTTAGGCGGGAGAGTAGGCCGGTCTTTGGTGGTTCGGAGGGACCAGAAGAAGATTTCTCAGGTGGGACGTAGGGGCAGGCGCTTTGAGATGTCTTCTCTGCGACGACGGGTGGTGCGGCTTTCTTGTGCATGGGACATTCGGGCTGGAGGCATTGTCAGAGGCGCAGATGCAAATAGTGTTGTTATACATACAGGAGGCTCCATACTGCCTCGTGGCATTGGATGCGGTGCATTGCGCACAGCAGGCGCAGAGGATGTAGTGTCTGCCCAAAACCAACCCATTTTTGATTGCTGTATGTAAAGAAGAAGAAAAGTGTTTCTGGGAAAAAGCAGGGAAGAATACACAGGGCTGAAGAAGATGCGACGGGTGGCGGAGATTGTCGGGAGAAACAAATTCGTGCAGGGTTCGCATCGTCATCGCTCCAAGTATGTCATCCGCGCTCCGATTGGCTGCCCGCCTCAACACATCCATGTACATAGTAATACCACATTTGGATACGTTTTGTATTTATATTGATCCTCAAAAATAGTACACATGCTTGACTGTTTATTCTACAAGTTTTGCTGTCAAAAAGTCGCTGAGCCCTCTATTCTCATCTTCCTCTACGATGCTGCCGCCTTTGCCAGTTGTCCAGTACCCCGTGAGCTGAAGATGGCCATGATACCAAAACTTCCATAGAAGAGAACCATGGGGTATGCTACCAAGCCTCGCATTGATGTCATGCGGCCTGTGACTTAGTTAGCATATGCATTATCTAGAATTTAAAAGCAAACTCACCAACAACGGTAAACATTGAACTCGAACTGTACGAGCACCATGTGATTGCCAGGCTCGTAAGAAGATATCCGAACAACCCGTCAAGTGGGACAATGATTCCGAAAATGGCGACCAATACGAGAGGGAGCAGGCAATAACCTAGGACGGACGCCGATCGCGGAAAGGTCAATGAGGAACCTAGGTGCGACCCATGTGGGTGACCATGATCTCCAGGTGTCGCCTCAACCGTGTTGACAGGAGGGGACATGAGAGAAAGGATCTGGTGAAGTAGGATGGTGCCTACAAATGCCAATCCTGTATATTGTCAATTACCGCATATACACAGAGCAAATACACATACCATATATGTAACCAAAGTGGAGTTTACCAGACAACTAACAGCAGTTAGCTCATGCTCTCCATGAAACGACGTGCCTTGCATACCAATAACGACGTGCCAAATATTAAGAAGAAAAGAATCGGGCCAGCTACGTCGCTATCATCCATAATGTGCTGATCGATACGGCCGAAAGGGTTCAGAACGGCCAATGTCTGCACAGTATTAGCCTAGCACCACAAGCAAGTATTACCCACAACCCACCTTCATTTGTATGTGCTTAAAGTTCACTCCTAGCTCTTCCACTGCGTTTTGTCAGCTTGCGCGTATGCTCAGGTTTTCGGCGCGGCGTACGTAGTGGGGGTTCTCCTTCGTATCTGCCCATTGTTAGCAAGGTTTCATGTCGAAACGTTGTTTACATACCCCTCTGTGCCAAATGCTGCCAACCAGCCTGTACGTAGGCCTGATGTACCCATTCCCATCTGTCCGCTCACTCCTGGAGCCGAAAACCCAGCGCCATACTGAGAAGGATATGCCTGGCTCGCTGGCGCGCCATAGTTTGCTTGAAAGGGTGTAGAGTGCCCAGACACTGGTTGATTCGAGAAGGACGAGGAGTAGAATTGGAGGTTTTGTGCATTGCCTGCACCATATTGGGGGTTCTGTCCGTAGCCGTATTGGGCCATTTTGCGAAACTTCGATCGTGGGCGCGGTGTTTGGAGGGAGGAAACGTGTCGAGGGGGGTCAATTGAATAGGAGGGTAATTAGGATGCCTGGCGGAGCTGTCGCGGAGGAGCCTTGGTTCAAGTTATTACGTGGGGCAACGGTCGACGTCACTGTGGGCTATTGAGCTGCAAGGACAGATCGCATCGAAAGCGGGATGGATAGAAGGGTAGCGGGTTTGTTTGCCAGGATGCCAGGAAAGCAGTGGTTGTGTTCGCAGTGTTGCGGCTCAGATGCGACAGCCACATGTCATCGTGTGCATCGGCGCTTTCCCGTCTTCATTCGCCGATTTGGCTTAGTCATAGCTCATGGTTACAACACGCCGAATAAGGTAGGTCTACGCTAATTCAGAGGCACGCTAAATCTCCTGTTAGGAGTCAAGGATGAATCACCATGTCTAACAAGCAGCGTTTTCGTATAATTTTTTATTCATTTGGTTCTCTTTTGGTGGAGAGGGGTATTCGATATTGCTAACAAGAGGAGAGTCATTATTCATATTCAGAATTCTCGCATCAATCATAAACAGCACCTGGCTGTGGCCCTATAGCAGGCATAGTGTCCCTAGAAGTGTCACTCGGGCATTTTAATACATTTCTACAGTTCTTCGCGAAGTGTAGTTGCACCAGTCACACTAGGAGTAGTCAGTATGGAGAATACCCTTGCCATGATGTGTACGCACCATGGTGTCAGAAGAAGCGTCGTTGTCTTCACGGCAATATTCATTGTTGCACTTCTTGCAGGTCCGAATAAAGAGTTCTTTGCAAGTGATGCACTGCCAGATATTAGTATAATAAGATTCGGGGCACAGGGGTACATACCGTATGGCCACAGCCGAAACAGTCACGTCGCACACCGATAATCTGCGAGTCTCCATGTTAGCCTATTTCTTATCTATAGACGGAGCACATACCTCGACGCGCAAGTGGCGATTTCCAGGTTGCAATTATCCAATAACCAGGCTCCACGGCTAGTCTAGAGGAGACTAGGTTCCGGAATCCAGCTACTTCGTAACGGCCTCAAGGTAATCTCGCTCCCCGCGCGTCAAGGTAGGGTTTCACCCCCACATCCCGTTGCTGCCAGCACCAGCCATCATTTCTGAAGGCAGGCACTCTTCCACGCAGAGGTCCATAAATACCTTGGTCTTTTGCTTCGGGAGCATTCGAGTGGTCCCGTCGGATTGAAGGTTCTCTACAATCTCGGTTTGTTGCAATTCCGTACGTTGGGCGGTAGCTGGAACCACGTAACAATCTTCATCCCACCACTTGTGACACCTCTCGCACCAGCGACCTCTGAGGCAGTCTTCGCATCGTACTATGAGAGGCGGAGAGGCGGTTCCGTCAAGGGTATGTGGTATCTGAGCAGCACGGACAGTGCTGCCATGCAGCGGAACGGGACTCAGTAGTGGGTGATGGGCCGGGCTCGAGCTACCGAACACGGCTGGTCCTTCAGGGGAGGAATGGCATGTCTCACAGCCAGATGGTCCCAGGGCAACAGTGGCAATCGAAGGCCGAAGGAAAGCTGCTGGATGATGAGCTCCCGCAACTGAAGGGTCCCTAATGTACGCTTTGCTTGGGTCGTGGCGTGGACCTCTGCAAAGAACGGCATCGAAAGCAATGATACCGGCACACTCCTGGAGTATCTCTGCCCACTCCGGAGAGGGACGCTTTGATATGATCTTTCCGGATGATTTGTACCATTTGTCTTCTGTCCGTGACAGTGCAACGTCCAATGCTTGCTGTGATTTCTCGTTCCACTGTGCTCCAATCTGCGCTCCTCTTGACGACATCACTCCTCTGGATACGGGCGACGGCTGCCTTTTTGTCGGAGGCGATGCAGGACGCGGAGGAGGATCGCGGGATCCAAAGAGATAGATGCCCTTGACTCGAGGGGTGCCCTCAGGTCTTGACGGACGTACGGCATATCGCATGTATTGTTGGAGTTTGCGTTCGTTCAAATTCTTGACTTCACGAATAGAGAGTATGCGTACGTTGAACCTCTCTTCTGTGAGCAGGTCTTTGACGAGCTCTGCTGTTACGCTGAGCCCGTCTAGGACCAAAGTGTGCACATTCTGAAGGACGTGGATCTTTTCAAGCCTGTTGAAGATGTGTCGTAGAGGACCGCTGTAGAAGTCATCTTCGGTGAGGGCTTCATCCATGCGTTTAGCACGGAAATTGACGCCGCCGACGTCCAGAGGGCCCTCAAAGGGTACAATGGCGGACTTGACGGTTGAGAGATCAAGGTAGCGGAAAGCCTCGGGGGAATGAATGATGGCATGGAGGGACTTTGAGGTCCGGGACAGATTACGGAGAGCAGAGACGGGGAGGTATGGGGCAGTTTGACGCAGAATTAAGGTATTAGAGAGAAGGTCCGCCAGGGAGGTAGGAAGGTCGTGGGTGAATGTAGCCGGGCCCATGGCGAAAGGTCAAGGGAGGGCAGAGAGAGAAGCAAGCTGGGCAGGCGGATTAGACGGGTACTCACCGAATCTTTATGACAGCGAAGAAGGTTGCCCAGACTGGGGGGCACGTGCCCTTGATCTGACGCTGCAGGAGGGTGCTTGGGATGAGCAAGAGGATCGACTAATGGACGTTGAGACACTGCAGAGGTTGGTTGGGGTTGCGCCGGACGTGGGGTGCGCGGCCCCTGTGGCGATCGCAAATACAAGACCCTGCCAAGCGGGGGGACAGCCAGCAATTCGCAGATACCTGCAAGATCAGGCGGCGATGAAGCATGCCTTGGAACACATTTTGCAGCCAAGGCCGTGTCCAAAGGCTTAGGTGTTTGACACCGGAAACATTAGCAAGCCGCTGCTGCGGCATCCCAAGCGGGCGCCGTGACACTGCCAGACGGGCTATCTGCCCCGCCTTGGCCAGTTACGGCAATGAATCGCCATATCGAAACATGGAGGCACATTGAGTAGTGACCGGCAATACTGCATAGCCCCTCGCGACTAATGCACGCCTAGAGACTGAAGGCCGAAGGTGGATGGGCCCAAAGATGTAATTGAAACGAGTCCTTCCCCGCCATTCACCGGAACCTCCCCACGCTGCACGCCGCACACTGCACGCGTCTCCCACGCGCGTCGCCGCCTTATCGATAAGCATCGCATCGCATCGCGGCTCGGAGTTGCTCAACTAGTCAGTCCTACGCCTACTAGCAGAGGTAAGCTATGACGCCACTCATCACCGAAGCTTCGAGCAGAGCCGCATATGTCAGCCGTCGTTGACTGACAGAACTACTACTACTAGACTTGGTGCACATCTGCCACCGCCTCATGTAGGGTTGTGTTAGTAGAGTCCTTGCTGGTTGTTGTCATCATCTCTCTTTTTCTTTTCTTTACGATACCCCTCCGCCATGAATCCCGAGATAGACCCCGCAGCAGCAGAGCTCAAATGGTCCGGCCAGTACAAACTCGCTAGTGCAACCCGAAATGCGCTTCCTGGCGACAAAGTCCTCCTGCCGCCCTCAGCGCTAGAACAGCTGCTTGCTGCTGCACCCGTAGTCCATGTCGATGCGAACCAACCCCACTTGACCGCTTTCGATCCCTTCAATCCATATACCTTCAACGCCGAGCGACATGCGCGGGCGCAAGCACAGGACCGATTCCAGCAACTACCCCACCCTCTTACCTTCCGTCTGGTAAACCCGGATAACGGCCGAGCCGTACACGCAGGCATTCGCGAGTTTTCGGCGGAAGAGGGCGAGATTGTGCTGAGCAGCTTTCTGAAAGAGGCCTTGGGCATCCAAGAGCGATCTGCAGAGCCCTCGAGAAATGCGAGCCCACATGATGACAAAGATGGAGATCATACCATGGAAACCGGAGTAGACGAGACACTTGGCAGTGGCAGCAATAGCGACGCCGCTATCAAAATCACCGTGCATGCCAAGCAGCTACCCAAGGGCGCCTTTGTGAAGCTGCGGCCTCTGGAAGCAGGCTACGACCCCGAGGACTGGAAGTCGCTACTCGAAGAACATCTACGATCCAACTTTACAACGTTGACAAATGGCGAGATTCTAGTCGTGCATGGCGGTCGAGGAGTCGGCGGCAAACGCGAGGAGTTCCGCTTCTTGATCGACGGCTTCAAGCCTGAGGGAGAGGGAATATGCGTCGTAGATACGGATCTAGAGGTTGATATTGAACCTCTGAACGAAGAGCAGGCACATGAAACTTTGAAGAGGATAGCAGCTAAGAGGCACCGTGCGCCTGGCACTGAACAAGGCAGTTCAACCGGTGGCACTGTTGATATATTCAATGCACAATCTGGGCAGATACTCGAAGGCGAGTACGTTGACTTTGAGTTAGCGTCCTGGGACCGATCTCAAGGGTTGGAGATCTTGCTAGATGAGGTTGACGATGAAGATGAGATTGATCTTTTCGTTAGCCCCTTTTCTTCACGCCAGAGAGTTCGTCCTCGGGAAGAGGAGCACGTCTTTGCAGATCTGTCTAGTCAATACCCCAAACGCATACGATTACAACCTACAAACATCGAGCTCGAAGAAGCAGAAGCAATATGGATCTCAGTGCACGCATATCCATCCGCATCACCCTCCACCACACCGAAGCCCTTCCGCCTGAGGGTCTCAATATTCGATCCAAAGGCCGAAGTCGAAAGCAAGACTGAAGGTTCACCCGAAGTTGGAGAAGACGAAGTAATCTGTAAAAACTGCAAGCAAATCGTCCCCAAAGGCTCCTTATTCCTCCACGAAAACTTTTGCCTGCGAAACAACATCCTCTGCCCCCAAGGCTGCGGCCAAGTATTCCAAAAGCGCTCAAAAGCCTACGAAACCCACTGGCACTGCCCCCATGACACTTTTACAGGAAACACGCCCCTCAGCCACCAGAAACACGACGCATACTACCACACCCCGCAAACCTGTACCGCATGCTCCCTCCCCTTCCCCTCCCTCCCCACCCTCGCCCACCACAAAACAACCTTGTGCCCAGCGAAACTCATCCTCTGCCGCTTCTGCCACCTGCAAGTCGCGCAAGAAGGCGATCCAAACGATCAATCGCCCGAACTCCTCCTCTCAGGTCTAACCCCCCACGAACTCGCCGACGGAGGCCGCACTACAGAATGCCACTTGTGCGCCAAAATCATCCGCTTCAGAGACATGGACACGCATCTCCGCCACCACGATCTCGAGCGCCTATCCCGCCCACCGCCACGCCTCTGCCGCAACGTGAATTGCGGGCGCACGCAGGACGGCGCAGCAAAAAACGGCGATACACGTGCGGGAACCCGCAAAGGCCAGGGCCCAGGCAACGACATCGGACTCTGCAGCACATGCTTTGGCCCCCTATACGTCTCCCTCCACGACCCAGAAGGCAAAGCCCTCCGCCGCCGCATCGAACGCCGCTACCTAAGCCAACTCCTCACCGGCTGCGCCAAACCCTGGTGCAAAAACGAATATTGTCGCTCTGGCCGCAAGAATCTCGGCCAACCGGATCAGTCCGTTGCAACCAAAGATGCCATTCCTCTAGTCAAACCTTTCTTGCAGGGTATGGATGGAAAGGGGTACGATACCCCACTCCATTTTTGCGTCGATGAGCGCGCGCAAAAGTGCAGGAGGCTGGCGGAGATGATGGCGGCGGAGAAGGGGATAGAGGGCAAGGGGGGTTATGCGCTCGAATGGTGTGTTGCGGCGCTTGAGGCTGAGGGAGGCGATTTGGATAGGGCGAGGAGTTGGCTTAAGGGGTGGGCGCCGCAGAGGGCCGAGGCGGGGCAGTGAAAGGCAATGTCGTACGATGACGGGCATGTACTAGCATAGAATATCGATAAGATACCCTGTACTAATCAACAAGAAATGCTGTGTACAATTCAAGCAGACTGATTCTTTCACTTATCATGTCATTCAAACAAGTTGGATTGCTTTCGTTACCAACTTCAATCGTACCTCATTCATAAGGCTAGTCCTTAAATGGCTTCAAATATCGCCGTTTCCCTTTCAACTCCTGTATAGGTCCCTGCACGTTAGTGCCCCGATGCCAAATCATTTATGCTTTTTTTTCTCCCTTCGTCATGTCCAACACCCCCCTTCCATCCGCGTCAGTCCGGGTATATCTATTCGCTGAAGCGTGCACTGAATGGCTGCGTCGTCTATTACTTGGACTCTGCCTCCTTGGAGTGGCGGTCGTGCTCGTCAATGTCGCTACAGATATATGTTAGTGGGTCTGTCCATGCCAAATCTACATATGCGGTATATAAAACGTACGTAGCTTCCCAAGGGTAGTTGATCCAAACATCGCCTACGGTCCTGGCGGCAATGTAACGGCCCTGGAGAATTTCCTGGGGCAGTTGGCCCTTCTTCGCCTTGTCCTTGTTGTGTAGAACAAAGATGGAGAACTTGGTCTTCTCGCCCTCGCGTCCCAGTTTCTTGACGGCTGCCTCGACGTCCTTTTCCAGCTCCCTGACGGCGTACTCGAGCGTTGTGCGGGTGTCGTCTACCTCATCGACAATGAGGACGTTCTTGCCAATCAGGTTGGCCATCTCGAGCGAGGACAGGTCTAGCCATTGTGTGCGTGTGACTTTTGTGCCGGGGGTTTCGACTTCGGAATCGGGGCCTGAGCCAAGCTGCTCGTAGAGGGAGAGACCGATAGCTTGAATGGGAATGTTGGGGCTACCGGGCTTCTTGAGGAAAGATCTGGGGTGGGGATGTTAGGCTCGTGTGCTGTGAGGTTCAAACAGAGTGTGAGCGCATACCGCAGAATGCGCGCAGGGACGTAGCCTCCGCCGCCAATAGCGATCATGAGGTTGGGCTGGAACTCATTAAGGATCTTGTCAGCTGCCTCTTGGCAGAGCTTGTGGACCTGTGGAGAGTATATGTCAGTGTCTGGCTAGAACCTGGAACCTAAGAGTGCTGCGCTCCGACTCAGTACCACAACGACATGACTGGAGACGTTGACCAAGGTCTTGCTGTGCGCATGCTGCGCTCGTCAAGAACACAAAGACCGTGCGACTCTCGGAAGTAAGCACTCATGAACTATCCTTGCCTGCCCACAAGTATACAAGGGAAGCGCATGAGCGTGGGCATGCGCGGGGTGCATGGTTGCACATGAGCAGCCACTTACCTGGTTGTACGTGACGTAAACCTTCTCAACCATTGTCGCGGATTGTTCAAATTGCCTTTGGTCTTGTAACTGGATATCGAAATGTCAAGAGAAAGGCGTAGACAAGCGGCGAAAATTGTTCTCGAGAAAATAAAGGAAAAAAAAAGTCTGTAGCCGCGGTAGCAGTCAAAATAGTTACCTACTTAGGTAGGCAAGGTTAGAGCGGCGAAGGCCGAAATTCAATGGGTGGGGTTTCCCTGTGCCCCGCGCTATATCAGGAGCCAATCAGGTGACCACAGGGCGTTTGATGCAGGCAATTGCTTGTATGATTATTTTACCACCCAAACAAAAACTCCGACACACTGTCAAGAGTGGAAAACAACACTAGTGGTAGCATGACAGGTCTAAAATTCGCCTCCCATTGCTTCTGCTGAGCAATCTTGGTGATAGTCTAACTCTAGTTTTTTATGGTGGCGAAGTAGTGCCAGTGGTCGCCAACAAAAATGGTAACGTGACCACTACAAGACTTCCACACAACGACCATCACGCCTGCAAGGATATCTGGGTGACCATATAATATTTCAAGAATCATGTCCCTGTTCACATTGACAGAAGCCAGTGAGCATACTAACTCGAGATTTGAATCGTTCCGTGCTTGAAAGAGAAGTTTCCTGTTGTTGGCCGAACGAAGCTTTCGTGGAAACACAGCAGATATATATTTTCAGCCATTACTCTGACGACATACCTTTCATTGACCATCAAAGGCACTGTAGGAATATCGACATTTGTGACTTCGCTGTGGGGATCGAAAGTCATTGGTGTGCAGGCTGCTTTATCTTGGGTACCCATGTAGGTGATGATATTTAAGGTTTCCATGGACGGATGAAATCCATAACAAGTATCCTTCCACCAAGAAGATCGATAGTTGTCAATGCCACGGGGGCTATTACTGTGATATATCGGGTCTTCCCATACTCTCAAGTCGTTGGTCTGTGTATCGAATCTAAGGAGTAGAGAGGCAATCGAAGGGTTAATTAGTTGTGAGTTTGGATTCCTTGCGTCCACACGTGCCGCAAAGACGTTGCCTGAATCGTCTACTGGGACAAAGGGCGTTACGCCATACCAAACCAAAAGTGGTTTGAGCTCTGGAAGACGTGGAGAGAAAGAGCTAATGTAATCGCCCCGAAAAGTGTATGTGGCACATGCAACCAGGGATTGGTTTGGTGTTTCTGTAGGGGTATCCATGACGAACATGAGGATGATTGTCTCGCTCTCGGGTTGTAAGAGAGGTACTATGTGTAGCAATCCGCTAGAGAACTGGTTAGCTGTGCATGCTGTCACTTGTAGTTTGTAGCTGTGCTGCATGGGCAAGGCCTGAGCCGGCTGCTGCAATAGATATTCCTGTCTGGCAAAGGTAGTGGTAGTAGCAGGCAATCCATGGCACTCACCTCGGGCCGTGCGTGCCAAGAAATATGTCAGAGTCATGGCTAATGATGAACGATGTTCCCCGCTGTGTATTGTAGTCCCAGATGAAGACGGATATGTGCATGTCAAGCGAGGCAAGGCAGGCTACGGTACTCCGACGACAAGTCACGTTCTGCAGGTAGCTTGCGGAAGGCACCGTGAATCTCTTTCGGTGCGAGAGGGTGGCCACGTCGTAGACGTAACACACGTTGGCAGCAGTGACAAGCACCACGATTTGGTCCGAAAGCACCAGGTCAATAAGTTGTTCACGTGCTTCTCCGGCTAGTTGGCCTACTTTCCAATCGTGTAGATGGAATATATGGGCAACACGTATTGGCGATGTCTGCGGGGTCCCGGACAGCCATGCAAGGTAGTCACCACGCAGGCTGGGACGGGCTATTCGATTGTCTGACGTTATCTTGTAAATGCCGAGTGGTCTCCCGGTACGGAAGCGGTGGATTCTCCTGGCTGCGCACTGGCGTAAAGTGCCATGTTCGAAGTCTTTGGGATTCGCCGTACCCTGATACCATGAGTTGAGGCCGGCAGTGAGCACAGAAGGACTTTGAAGAATATGGCGCCAGCGGGCTGAGACTATTTGGAAGCGATAAGGGGCGGCGGGATCCAAGTGAGTGAAGATGTGAGCGACCAACTCGATGGGCAGGCGGCCAATGATATCAAACTTGAATGAGCGGGAGCCGGTCAGAGCATGGAGGTACCTCCACTCGTGGGGAGTCAGCTCTGCCGTCAAGAGGGCCAGGGCATGCTGTCTCTGGGCGTGATTGAAACGGGTGAAGGTTTGGACGAAATCGGCCATGATGACCATGGACGGATTAGTCAAGAGGGGCAATTGGAAGGTTGGTCGAGAGCTGACGGGGACGGGGGATGGAGTCGAGGGTTCGGCGGGTGACGTTTGGCAGGGGGAGGGAGGGAGCACGGGGCAGCCATGGCGAGTCAGGCAGCAGGTGTGGCGACGGGGAGAGAGGGAAGGGGGGAGTGGGAGGGGAGTGGAGGAAGGAAGGAGAGGTGCAGGACAGATGCTTACATACGACATGCACGTACATATGTAGTGTATGTGGGTGTGGGTGTGGGTGAAGGTGAAGGTGTAGTAGTAGTAGAGCGATGGCGGTGGTACATAGATAGTTGCATGGTAGACGCATGCATGCAGCCATACTACTTACATGCTACATAGATACATACTACTTACACAGCACAGTACGTACGTACATGATGCATACGTATACTACTAGACAGATGATAGTAATAACAAGAATAATAATACAACAGAGCATGTACATACTTACTTGGCCCTCGCCGACCCCGCACCGGAAACGGCTGGTGTTTTCGCCAGATTGTCGACGGCGTTTCAGTGCATCAGCCTTGGGATCCGCCATGGTTCTGCGGCAGCGCTCCCGTTCCGTCGCGTGAAGCACATGCGCATGCACCGTAGCAGAGGCCGCTCAGTAGTAGGCGAGGCCGCTTGGACGCGGCGCTCGGTCGCTCCCCATCTCCTATTCCCATCCGACTGCTGCTAAGTACAGCGGCGGCCGCTCCCGATCGACAAAGGAGCCGCCGTCTGCCATGCCGACCTTTCTGGAACCAAAATTCCACGCCGCCTCGCCCATGCACTAGCACCGCCCTCGCTGGCTGAACAAGTCCTGTCCTGTCCTGTCCTGTCCTGTCCTGCCCTTCCCCCCCCTCAGGCCTCGACTCGACCCAAGTGCTTGCTTGCCCTCGCCCCGGCCTCCCACCGAGCATCCTCGCCGCCCGCACTGCAGCTCCGGGTCCCTGCGTCGCCTGCCTCTGTGTCGAGTCTCGCTCTCGCACTGACTCTGTGCGAAACGCTGCTGAGCTGCCTCGTCGCCCATCTGCAATCCCACCCGTTTCACCCCGACCAACATTGCAACAACCTCGACACCACCCACGCCAGCCCACGCGCAACCACCCTGCGCAGCCTCGACTCCCTCTCCCCACTCCTTCCAAGCAATGGCTTCGGTCGCCGAGGCCCGCTCCACGCCCTTCTCCGCCGATGCACGCAATCCCAAACTCCACAAGTCCATACCCATTCTGCCCTCGTCCGCCTCGACACTCGTGCCCCCGAGAGACCCCATGGACGTGACGCCCTCGACCTCGTCCGCCATGGGCCCCCCAGCCATCAACGGCCCCCCCGCCACGGATCGCACTCCCCAAGGCCCCTTCCAGTCCCAGGCGCAATCCCACGCGCAAAGAGAAGGAACCACCGACTCGGGCAACACGTCGCCCAATGGAACCGCCGCCCCAGCCGTGGGCGCTGCTGCCGCCGCCCAGCAGCCAAAGGTCGTCCAAACCGCCTTCATACACAAGCTGTACAAGTGCGTGCGCCCTCCATATCACCTGATGCTTTCCATGTGCGCCCCGACACTAACCCGCCAGCAGCATGCTTGAAGACCAGAGCATCCAGCATCTCATCTCCTGGGCCAGCACAAACGAAAGCTTCGTCATGTCGCCCTCGAGCGAATTCTCAAAAGTCCTATCGTACGTTCCACCGGGAGCTATGGCCCTTTTTTCGACGAAATCTAACCCGCCTTGCCCAGGTCCTATTTCAAGCATACCAATATCTCGTCATTTGTTCGCCAATTGAACATGTATGGCTTTCACAAAGGTCCGTGTCGGAGTGCTTCTGTCCCCTTTTTTCTGTTCCATCACATGCTAACCCTGTCACTGCAGTGAGTGACGTTTTCCACACCGGATCCCCAGACACTCCGTTATGGGAGTTCAAGCACGGAAATGGCAACTTTAAGCGCGGCGACTTGGTCGGCCTGCGAGAAATCAAGCGACGTGCCTCGCGACACGCACTCATCCATCGTGACTCCTTCTCTACGCCAAAGCTGCCCCAGGGTCCCCCCGCTGGTCAGCCAGTCGAGCCAATGCCCGACCCAACCGAGTCACGCCTACAGAACCTGGAGCATAGCCTGTACGACATGCACACGCGCATGCAGCGCTCCGAAGAAACATGCAATTACCTGAATCAAAAGAGCTTAGTTCTCGCAGAGGGCATGATGCGATGTCACCAGGTACGTCAAATGTGTCTAGACTGGATCTGCACTGGCTAATAATGTCCCGATTAGTGGAATCACGATCTCGCAAATTACATTATGGCAATGGTGCCAGACCCGGAAAACCCTATCCATAGGGACGGTATGCATCTGCACTTAAACCTTAATTGCGCGACACTTGTGCTGACTTGTTCCAGTCGCCATGATGCAGCGTGAAATTAGTCGGCAGACTGACATGCTCCGCGCACTCGAAGCACCTGAGGAACCCCTCTCCGCACGGCAATCCTACTTCATGCAAGTAGATAGCAATAACGGCCCACCGCTTTCACCTCGGCAGATGCCACAAGACAATATGTCAGAATCAAGGCGAGGCTCCTTGGCGAGCGTTTCACGCCAAGCGCCATACAAGCCCCCGGTTCCGGCGCATCTCGCCATATCTCCGCGACGGTACGGCTCAATAGGCGCGGGTAATTTCTCTCCATCATCCGCCAGGACCCCAGTTTCGCACCAGCCACCCCCACCCCCGCCTCCACCTCCACCAGCGCCGCCTGCTATCCAACAGCCGGCATCTGGTGCTACATTGGGAAGCAATCTGGCAGCAAACAGCTCTTCTCCACCCTATAACCTTTATAGGCGACACACCTCGGCAGATATCCGTACTCATGGCTGGCAGCCGCAGCAGCAACAGCAGTCGAATGCTCCGCTTCACTCGCCCTATGCATCCGGTCACAACTCTACCCAGTGGCCCTCGTCACCACATAGGCCCCCTGTCGGAGGCGGAGACCAACAACTCCGTGACGCTTTAGAGTCCTACCAACTACCCCGTGGTCCACGGCAAGTGCCGTCAAGACATGGTACTCCCCCTGGATCAAATGACCCCGTCCCATCTACTCTTAGTGCCGATAGTGGCTGGACACTTCCGGGCGCTCGATACCCCTTCAAGGGCATCGATACGCCTGGCCCACCTACAAGACGGTCCAGTATGGCCTCTAACGTGCACTCACTCCTCAATCCCGCCGAGACCGCTGAACGCGATGATGAAGACGACCCAGATGATGCACGCAAGCGAAAGCGCCTACAGTGATGCATATAACCCCTTTTGTCAACAATGACTGCTACGTTCTCTTTTTTTTCCTTTATGTTGTTGCTATTGTGAATATTCGGGAACTCCCGGCGTTCGACTGCGCACTCTTTTCTTCGTTGATTTTTCCTTGAATAATCGCTGTCTTCGCAACTTTCTTTCGCTATTTCTGCTCTTGTCGTTGTCATCGTAGGGCAAACGCTTCCAATGTTTTTTTTCTTTTATTATTTCCTATCTATCCTTCGAGACTATACCTTCTTGTTTCCACGTACATCGGGAAATATAGGAAAGAGAAAGATATGGAGAGGGGCGCCCATTTTTCATGCTGGCATCGCGAACTCGCATCTCTCTGGTCATATATATGAAAGGATATTCGTCATCGTTATGATTGTTGCTTTTTTACTTTTTGGTATATGTGGAAGTCGCACATAACGACGTGGTTCTGTATGTTCCTTTGCTTTTGTTTCTGTGTTGTCAAACTTTTCGTTGTTCTTTCTTTTTTTTCTTTACTCGGGCGTTTTAGGTGCACGTGATATGCTTTTTTTTGTTGGAAAAGGCAGATGGTAATTTACCTTTTGGTCATCCCAAAGGAATACAACGTTGATAGCAAATGCTTATATAGCAGCAGTAGGAACACCTTTTTTGTTGTAAACAATTGTATTTCGCTACCAAGAAAGCTCGCCCTTTTTCCCCGTTAACTTGTCTTTGCTATAAAAACAACCAACGTAAAGCTTTTTTTTCTTTCCTTCTCTTTGCCAGATATGTGCAAATGAGAAGTTGGCTATGCGAAATGAGAAAGCGACCGTAAGTGGTGACCCGAAGGAAAGAGAAAAAAAATGATAACTACAAAAAAAAAAGAACGCTGTCATGTCTCATATCCATCATCTATGTACCGTTTGCAATCTCCCCTGTCCCACAAACCAAAGAAGTGAAACATATATATATACCAAACCCCATCTTCCCTTCCCCCCTCACTTACCATCTTAAAACCCATAGCTCAAATACCCAATGGTAGTAGGATAAACACTTAGATTATCCTTCCAATTCGCCTTATCCTGACCAGCGGCCGTAACCATCCACTCGACACCAACCTCGCTGAATCCAAACGCCTGGACACTCGTCGATCCCTCGATGCTCAGAATGCGGGTCTGGCAGTCGCGGAAGCCGTTGGGGGCGGTGGGAGAAGAGCATCCGACGTCGTAGTTGTCGAAGAAGGAGTAGAGGCCGCCGCCGTAGATGAGTACGTTTTTTGCGTCGAGCAAGCGGAGGCCCCAGGCTGATGTTTGCGAGGAGGAGTAAACGGGGTCGGAGTATTTGGAAGAGGAGACGTAAGGAAGGGGTGCGATGGGTGTGGGTTGGAAGTAGGGGGTCTCGGTTTGGATGTAGCCTGCGAAGATGTCTTGGGCGGCGTTGAATTGGTACTGGTACATGGTGTGGTGCTCTGCGCCGTTTGCCCAGATCCAGACGTTGTTTGCTTCGACGTGGAAGCCGCGGCCGGTGTAGATGTTGATGCGGGTCGAGTCTGCGTCGTCGAGGTCGTGGTCGGCGGTCCAGAACCAGTTGTTTTCAAAGTAGGCGCCGTTGGCGCCCTTAGTTACGTGCACGTTGGTGTGCGCAGAGAAGCATTCGGGCTTGACTTGGCCGAGGACCGCGGGGCACTGGGCGACTTGGAGGTTGGTTCCCTTTGCGCCGCCGATGCGGGTGTGGACGTCCCAGAGACCGGAGCCAAGGGCCGTGTTGAGGTTGTACTGGATGACGATGGCTCCTGGGGTTGCGCCTTGGGTCTGGACAATCATGTCGGACCACTCGATGCTGCCGGACTCGCCGGGCTTGCCGATTTGGATAATGGGGACGGGGTTGGCTTGGTCGCCGAAGGTGCTGCCAGAGCCCATGATGGCGGAGAAGATCTCACCGACCATGCGGGAGCCGGGGGGAACGTAGATGGTGTTGGTGACCTTGTAGACGCCGTGCTCGAAGAAGAGGACCTTGTTCTGAGACGCGGCCTGAGTGACGGCAGCCTGGACGGCGCGTGTGTCGTCAGTGACACCATCACCGGTTGCACCTGCACCGCGGGCACTGATAAAGCTTGAAGTGCTGAGAGTCTCGTACTGTGGCTTCGACTTGGAGTAGAACTTGCCGTTCTGGAGGAGACCAGTGGGACGAGTGGCACCGCTGATGGCGCCCTGGAACTTGGATGGGCCAGATGCGTTGGGTGCGTACTTGTTGCCCTGACCCCAGGTCTGGATGGTAAGAGAGCCGCCAGCGAGGACAGTGGCGCCATTGCTGACAACAGCAGCGGGAACGTTGGTGAGCTTGATGTTCTCAATGACGAGCTGGCCGGAACCGGTAGGGTTGCTGGTCTGCGACCATGCTGAGTCGACAAACTTTTGGCAGTTGGTAATCTCAGAATCGATGATGACGGCGGAGCCAACCTCCTGTTTGCCAGCAGAGCCACCGTTAACCATGGAGAAAGCAGTGCCGCAGTCGCTGATCTGGAGACCAGAGTACAGCCAGCCCCAGTTCCAGATTTGTGAGATACCGACGACAGCCTTGGAGATCTTGACGTTACGCATGGTGAACTGCTGATTGCCAATGTTCATGCCGTACAGACCACCGGTGATGTCGAGGTCGGCCATATGACCGCCAGATCCATTCTCGACAAAGATACCAGCGTGAACAGAGTTGGACGCCTGTGTCATGCGGATCTTGACATTTTGGATCGTGGTGGCTTGAGAGGCGGGCCAATGGATAGCCTGGAAACCCGATGTTGGTGCAACAGCAGTGCCATCGATGATCAAGTTGCGGATTTGGCGCAAGAACAAGTTGGTTGAGATCCAGCCGGGCTCACCGTTTTGGTTGCTGTAGGGGCTTCCGTCGATCAGAGCAAGAGCTTGGAGTGAAGATGCAGCCTTGAGGACGGGAAGTTCGCGGGGGTTACCGATGAGAGCAGTCATGTAGTAGAAGATGATGGGCTTGTTGATGAGATAGGTTCCAGAAGGCACGTAAACAACAGCTGGGCTGTCAGTTGACGAGTCGCAAACCCATGGGCCGCAACGGCTGCCGTCAGAGATGGCACGGTTGAAGGCATCAGAGTCGTCAGTGACACCGTCACCTACAAATCGGTTAGTTATATCCTCAAGATCAATGTGAAAAAAAATTGCTTACCCTTCGCTCCGTAATCCTTGACATTTCGGAAGACCTTGTAGTTCGGGTTGCTGTTAAAAGGGGCTCTGCCTTTGCCGGAGAGATCGTTTAGCCAGTAGCCATCGACTATAGCAGCCGCAGCTTGAGCAGCATCAAGACTTCCACTGTCGGTAGTGTTATCAACACGCCTTTGGAATGCTACAAAGTGTCAGTAACCAGGAGTTGTAAAGCGGAAGACATCTTCGTACGTATAGCAGCGGCTTGAATGCCGACTGCACCTAGGCAGGCGAGCAAAGAAGAAAAACGCATGCTCGTGAACTTCAGACCAGCAGATTTCCGATTGAGCAGCAAAGTGAATTGAAGGACACTTTATACAAGGAAATGTAGAGCGTAGTAGAGATGGGAATGTCTCAAAGGCAGGTGATGCTCTCTATTTAAGTATTCTGTCAACACATTCCTTGTAGCCCCGGTTTTATCATCGTGTAAACGCGACGTTCACTACACCGGGTGGATCGAGGATGAACACTCCCCGGAGCAGCTCACAAACAGGCAGGACCCGGTCAGGATTCCTTACTGGCTCCCGCTCAAAGGTCACACGGAGTGATGGTTTGCACTCTTGGTGCGCGACTACACATGCGGCCATTTGGGTGGCTCCATGTCTTGCGTCTTTTTGTATGGTTGGAACCGCCTAGTTCAAATGGCATAATCTGGGGTAGGGCGGTTATCCATCACCTTCCCCTAAAAGAAAACCCTTGTAGGGGATATCTTGGAGGGCAGGGTAGTGTGACTTTGCCTCTGACAATGCCATATCCAGTGTGATCGCGCATGTCGGGCTAGGCTACGATCTAATCCGCATAGAGCTTCATTTCCGAAACATAGGGCTACAAATGCGGTACTGAAGATCGCTGGTAGATAGTCCGGTGGTATAGTAGAGGTAGTAGGAGAGAATGCAAGATTGTCGGCTAGCCCAGAAAAGTAGTGGTCACCGGGTCGGCCCTACACATATTAGTTCCGTGCAGCGCCTTCTAGTCATGAAGCAACGCCAGCAAAAGCATGTGACGTACGTTAGCCGGTGCGAGACCTGTAGGCATGCTTTTACCATTGGCCCCGTCTTCATGAGGGTCCAATTTCCCAAGTTCACCGTTCGTCTCGGCGACAGCGCCACAATGTGGAGTAGTCTTAGTAGGAGGGCCATGCGTCGCAGTGCATCCAAGCCGCCCTATGATGACTTCCAGAAGCGTAAGCCTCAAGCGCGTGGTCAAGTTAGCCTACCGGTTTCTAGTACACCTTTTTACAGTGCCGAGTCTGTCTGAACTGGGGCACAGGTAGTGCGTCGTGTGAGACTGTCGCAAGACACAAATTTCAAAGTCGTGCTCCGCAGAAGTGCATTCCTGGGACCTACCTATTAAGAGGCATGTCTGCCGAAGGCACTTTGAAAGCCGGGTGCTAGTACCGGCTAAACCAGGCGCGTGGACTCTTGCAGCACATTGGACGAGAACATCAAAAATACAATTTCTCCAACCAGCTTCCCTATCGAATCGTCTCCGAGGATTTTGCGTAAATTAAGAGGTCGGGCCAGCTACTGTTCTGAGGTTGAGAAGTGCCCAGAATCGTGTGCGCCGGAGATTGCAACGTTACAAGCGCCTCTTCCACTTCCCCAGATATGTCGCAAGCGCCTCACATACTACCCCAGATCCTGCATAGCGGAGCCTAAGCTAAGGGTCATGCAAGAACAGCAGATCACAGGGTCAGGGTAGGATAATTCAAGTGGGTTCCGACACGTCCAGTCATGTGTTGCAACCCAACCCTCCACTTCAGGTGATCTGCCCACAGCCAGCACAGGCAGAAATGCACCGAAGTGCTCCACACTGTACCAAAGTTCGACAGTGAAGTTGATGTAAGATTCGAGCGGTCAGGCATGTTCAAAGACTTGTGACCTCGGCCAAAGTCGGTCGGCTCTGCAGTAACCTGGAGAAAGCGGCGGCGCGCACACCGGACTTGTGCTTTGCCTCCCCGTCGGTGTCGTGAGTTCATGACGTCCACGGTGTTTTCCGCTCGCTGCAAGATGTCGCGCAGATGGGTATTGCTCGTCCAAGTGCTGAATGTCACTTCACGCATAGACACTTGTCAGAAGGCGAGCTGCATCCTGCCGGGTTGCACAAAGAATCCGCCGATACGTAAATCGTATGACAGATTTCCACGCGAGAGGCGCACCTCCTTGCAGAGCGACCCAAACTTTTGGGTGACCTCGTGGTTGCAGCAAGACGAGGCAACCTGGTATATGTCGAGCAATGCTGGGGATTCAATAACGCAAGAGCAAGGTTGGTACCACTAGCAAAGTCATGTCAACACACATTGGATTCAACCCGCGTAACCTGTCTCGAGGCATTCATAGCTTTACCGCAAGTTTTACAAATAACCCCTCACCGATCGTATATACAGTACCATTGCCGTCTTCAAGTGTCGTACGGATGAAGATTTTCCGGTCGACCCCTTCTGTCCGTTCGATCTTTGCAGTGCATAAGAGCAGTCCAGGTGTCGGTAGTGGCTTCTTGTAGGTCGTGTTTAAGTCTGCTCACGATTAGCTCATGTGCGGAACTAACATAGCTAAGGTAACGAACAAGCCGTGTAATAGTCCGGGACCTTGACAGCCTGTCCAAGCTTTTGCGCCTTCTCCACCTTTGCATCTCTATTCTGCGTGACGATCACGCCGCAGAGCTCGTCCATTAGCGCAGCCTGGAGCCCGCCATGCGCAGTCTGAGGATATCCATCGAGATCTGGTCCTAGATCAAGAATTGTCCTGGTCTCTAAAAATGGAAGATCGCCCTCCGTCTCTTGACTTGGTCTGAATGATAGAAAGGTCCGTATTGTAGAATCTGTTTTGAGCGTTTTACCGAAGAAACCGTCTTCTCCTGAGGACTTTGGTGTGCGCGAGAAAGTGCTGACAAGCTTCCAATTCGGGTCATTGATCAAGGCAGCAGCCCAAGGAACCGAGGATATCCTCGGCGTGATTACATCCATCATGAAAAGCTGTAGTAATTTTGGTCGATTTCACCGCACCAGAAAGCAGAGCAATTGTTGTGTAACTTCCAGACATGATTGCGAGGCTAGAAGCATGGGGTAGCAAAGATGCCGAGGTGAAACGTGGGGGAATTGTCAAAGCTCAACAGAGTCAGCCGCTGCGATATGACAAAAAGCTAGTCAGCAACAACCCTCCGACTTTCGGGTATCGGGCAAAAACAACAGCCGCAACAAGAAACGCCAGCCATGTTCGCGTAGCAGCGCCCGTTGAGACTGGAATTGTTTTTCGTCCTGCAGGGAGAGGGGAGATCAACATTCAGCTCTTGAACTCCCGTGTGATTACTACAACGCTCCCCGGAAGATGCAAGACGTCATGTCCATGCGCTAGACTGCAATACCGCGCCTTTTCACATCACTACGTCAAAGAGATGTAGGCCGCAGACGACTAGATCACTCTTTAGGCTATGGATGTAGACGTAGATGATGTAGTTGCCAAGGTAAACCTGAAGTGAAGGGCTTCATCTTTTCCTAGATTCTATCTTTCACACAACAGCATCAGCAGCAAAAGCACGATCCAAATAATCAACATATCCTCTATCTCTACTTCGAAACTCTTCAATTATAACAAAATAAAGCACAGGTTGCAATTGTCCGATCCAAAAAAAGAGAATAAGGAACAAAACAACTCACCGGGAAATACAAAAATCAAGAAGAACAAACCATCCCTCATAGAAAACCCAACCACCAAGAACCACCAACAAACCAACCAAAAAAATGGTCAACACATCCCACTCCCGCTCCGTCCGCGGCACCCTCTCCCACCCCAACCGCTCTCCCTCATCCTCCCAACCTCCCCCAAGCCTCAGCGACGCCACAAGCCTAACCCCCGAAAACGCCTCCCTCCCACTTCCACCCCACGACTCGGCCCCTCCACCATCTCCCTCGCAAACCTCCACTTCTTCCTCTTCTTCTCCCGCAGACGCAGCACCTACACCAAGTACCCCCTACCGCACCCTGGGCACCGCAGCAGGCGGTGGAGACAAGAGGGCTGTGGGGAATCGTGCTGCGAATCCTGCTAGTAAGGATTCCGCCAAGGATGTCGCTGGAGACGCAGTCAAAGACATACTACCACCCAAAGGCAACGCAACGCAGTCCAAGACCCAAGACGGGAAGCGAGACGAAGAACCACACAGCCGCCGCGTCCGAGGCACACTAGCAAACAAAAAGCCTGAAGCGAGGGTCGAAAAGACAATGCTGGGGGATCCGGCGAGTTTGATACCAGAGGGTGAGAAGACGGAGGGAGGGATGGATAAGGGGGCCGAGAGCGAGGGTGTGGTGAAGAGGGAGAGTAAGTTGTAAGGGATACGTATTATTTCCGTAAGAAGTTTTCGGGGAAAAAAATCGAAAAAAAAGAAGGGAGAGAACGACAAACGTCGTGCATAGAGCCTGTATTTGTCCCATCTTTTTTGCTTTTTCTTAGGGGAGAGGGAAGGTCGCAGTTCATGCACATTTGCTACAACTTTATCATCTTTCTTTTTTCTTCTCAACTAAGTCAAAGCACTCATCAAAAAAGGTCACATTTCATATTGTAGAAAAAAGACGGGTATGATTTAAAACATTTGATGAGTGTCATAACATCGTCGCCTAAATCATTTGAACCCAAGCAAACAAAAATGTAAAATGCATGCTAAGATCCTTCACCCCCCTAACCCTAACCCTCCCTTCCTTTCCCAAAGGGAAAAAGATTTCTCGAAACCAAAAAAACACTTCTTTTCGCTATGCTAGAAAAGGAGAGAAGGGAAAATGCAAATGCCTTTGTGAACTCGAAAAAAACTCCCTCACACACATACACACGCGCACGCCGGTTCTGAATCTAAAAATCAAAAAGACGGGAAGAGAGAGAGAGAGAGAGAGAGGAAAAGGAAAAAAAAAGTTCTTCTACAATTATCCTCCCCTTCTGAAGAGATTGTTGAAGAAAAGTAAAGGAGAGAGAGAGATAGAGAGAGCGCCCACGCAAAGGGTATATCGTAATTATGGTACAAGAGAAACAGAAAAGTAAACAAATGCCATCTTTCTTCCAGGGGGAAAAGCCATTTTTTACCCATATGTATGTGTGTGTGTGTGTATGTGTCCCCTTTTTTGATGTTGCGCCGAGAATAAGACAACGTCCAAGAACCGAGGGAAAAAACGCTGCAAAATGTTGTGTGGGCCATAAAAGTCTTTGACGAAAGGAATTCTTTGCATGGTCTTGCCACGGAGCGAACTTTTTTACTGTGATAACGGATAGAGAGAAGACTTGCTTCATTTCATACCCATTTTGCGGAACTTGCGGGATGCGCGACGGCGCAGGACGTTCATGCCCATGGCCTTCCGGAGGCTATCTCTGTCGCCATCGTCGTCGTCTTCCACCTGATGTCCATGATGGCGGCGGCCGTTGTTGTTCTTTACAGAATTTTGATGGGCGATTATGTTTTGTTCACGCCAGAACATACGTTTCTGATCAATCACTTGTTGTGACAGGTTGCCAAAACCCTTCTTGACGAACGCCAGATCGTGCAAGACGTTCGGGTCCAGGCAGCGCCTGGGCAGTGTTTGAACGGCCATGAAGATTTCACCATCGCCTGGACGGTACTTTCTAATTTCTGGCTCGCCGAGCTTGAAAATAGCAAGGGCGTAGCGGTACAGAGCGCGTGGCCCCTCGTACAAGAAAGCATCCCACACACGAAGGACGGTTTCAATCGGAAGCACACCGACGAAAATGCTCATAAACCAAGATGTGCATGAAAGAGCAACAGTAGGTTGGCGTTGGAACTTGGAGTTGGGGTGGGCGTAAGAGCCAGCGCCGGTATTGATGAGATCAGTGTCATTGATGGAGGCCCAGACCTTGGGTAGGTAATCCTTGATCAGCATCATGAGGACGTTGACTTCGGTATTCGCAAGGCTACGGGCGTGTGCACCTGGAAGATGGTTTTGCGTAATGATGGTCAACAGAATGAAGGCCTTTTCCTTGTCTTGCTTAAGGAAGAGCAACAGCAGACCGGCAATGAAGTTGAGCGATTGGCAGTATCCAATATTGGGGTTGTTCAGAGCGAAGCACGACAAAACCTCGCGAAGGTCTTGAATCAGCGCGGGCTCGTCATCGTCCTCGCCGTCTAGCAAATCAGTCGCTGGCTCGGGTCGGAAATGAATGTTGTCGGGAAAAGTCCTGTCGAGGTCGCGTTCAATAGCATCTCTGTCGTCCTTGTTGAGCTCATCTCGTCGTAAACGGGCTACAAGCGATTTGTAGAGGCCAACGTTTTCTTTTTGTGTGATCATGTGCTGACCGCCAGAGTAATACCACCACATGGCACCTCGCCACTCAGGAGGATAACCCTTGCGTGCATATCTCTTAACCTTCTCGCACATTTCCGGGAATGTCGTAGGGTTGTCGGTTGATAGTCCTTGCTTGTGCATCAAAGCAATCCATTTACCACGTCGACGTGCAATGTGCTCTTCGTATCTCGCTGCCCAGGCATTGTACTCTTGGACGCTAATCTTCTCAGATGCCTTTTTGAAGCCATAACGATCCCTTTCCACAGGGATGGCAGTTTTGCGCAGGCCGGGCATAACGACGGGGATTGGGAGCCCAGAAGACATTTCAGAGTCTTGGGCTGGCTCTGGCTTACTTTTAGCCGGAGCTAGCTGGGCCATCTTGCCCAGATCGAGCAGTGCACTCTTTCGATCGAAGACACTAGTAGAAGCGCGACGGGGGATTGCTTCATCTTCGTCAAGTTCCGGGAGAGGTTGTGATCGTTGCACTGGCGGAGATTGCGGGCCATTAGCCCCGGCACTCGAGTCATGTGAGAAGGTACGCGAACGACTAGGTCGTTTGCTGTGTCGCTTCGAGTAGGCTTCAATGCTTGCCCAATCTTGACGTGAGAGTCGCGATCTGTTAGTGGGCAATTGAGGAAGTCCAGAAATCTCACGACGAATGCTATCCATCTGAGAACGGCTTGTGTGGGCACTCTGTGAGTAACGATGTCCTTTGGCATTCTTGGCGCTTCCCAAATTCGAAGTTTCAGTGGTTCTGAGGGACAAAGCCTGTAGGGTGACTGAGACCCGACGAGGCATATCTGCGCTGGACCGTTTCATCGTGACCGACAATCTCTTTTTCGGAAGCTGCACTACTGCTTGGATGGTCCGTGGTGTATACGGAGCCTGGTAGGGACTTACTTGACCCTTGTGCATGTGGTCCACTTGCAGCGTTTTCGGTTCTATTGCGCTTGCATTGTGTACATCGAGATCAGAGCCTGAATCAGACGTCGTACGGATAGTTAGCAGCTTTTTCTGCTCGCGATGGTTCTCTGTTGAGTCTTCTGCGCGTGGGTAGGACCGTTCGTCCCATCGCTTGAGACTTTCGTTGGATTGGAAGGAGTCGAGAGAGTCGAAATCGCGGGATGGTGTCTGAGACAGCTCGGGCGGTTCAGAGTCGAGGCCACTGGGCGAAGGATTTCCAAAATGGTCGTCATGCGGCTCGACAATCGGGCTGCGGTCATCATCCTCTTCGTCGTAGTAGTATGAATCGAGTACGTCACTGACAGCGTCTAGCTGTTCTTCTTCCTCGGCAATATCTGAAGTAAGCGTTGTTTCTGGGGAGTCATCCCGATCCCGTTTGCGATCTCTTGACTGGTCTCTTGAATACATGCCACTGTGCAGGTCGCTAGCAATAGAGCTACGAGCAGTAATGATGCTACTTCGCTCTGTGCCGCTGGTCTCCATTAGGCTAGATGAAGCATTTGTGAATCCAGATCTAAAGCTAGCTCGTGGCTCCTCGTTTCGGAATGGTCGAGCTGGGGGAGGGTAGTAATCATTGTGAGACCAGTTGGGCACGCCTCTGTTAGGCTTGTACGTGCCTGAGAGGTTTGACCGCTCATTTGCACGATGCTGTGCATAATCTGGTATGGAGGTTGCGGACCTAAGCGAAGGCTGAAAAGGTGGCGGCTGAAAAGATGATTGGGGGCCAGTCATTCCTCGGGCTCGGAATGTCGCAGCTGGGGGGCCTGGCAGGTCTTCGCTAGATGAATTCCATGTTGGGCCATTCGAGTTGACTGGATTGCTAGCCAGAGGATTGAAGATGGTGCGAAGGTCGGGCGAGCAAGGGGCGCTGTCCTGACGCGACATTACCGAAGCGCCGGTTGGGGACATGGGTATTGGGGTGGAAGAAGGTGGGTTTGCATGGCGGGGGGAAGGTACGGCGGCATGGCGGAGGAGAGAAGGAGCTCTTTGCCGTAGAGAGTATTTGGGCGAAGGAATGGTCGGGCTGTCGGCAGGCGTTGGACTGTAAGCGGGACGGTCGTAGGGCTGAGCGGCTACCGTGTGCATCTGGAGCTGGGTCGGGTGCTTTGAGCGGAGCGCGCCAAAGCCCTTTGTGGAAGCATATGGTATTTGGGGCTGTGGTGAAGCGGGAGGAGTGTAGTCGGTTGGCGAGGCTCGATGGTGAAGGACGTGGGACAGGTGGTGTGGAATGGCCGTGTCAGAGTCCCGTCCAGCACTGGCAGCTTGAGAGACGCCAGGAGCGACGCGCAGGAGGGTATCACCCATTGCGAGGAGCAGAGGTGGTGACGGGGTAGTGGAGGAGGAGGGCGGCAAGTGCGCTCATTCGGACGGGGTACAGGACAGCTCGGGACTGGAGGTTCGGGAGGACATTCTGGGGGGGAGCGGGCAATCGAGGTTAGGGCAGGGCGTTGTTGAGGAGTGAAGGTGTCGTGTGGGCGTGTGTCATGCGGCGGTGGTAGTCGCTTGGACAGTGGGTTCGCCGGGTGTCGCAGCGTCCGGAGTGGGAGCTGTGGTGCAGGTGGATGAGTGAAAGGCCCAGGTGGGTCCCAGCGTGGGTGCGGCAGGTAGATAGGGTGTTAGGGTAGGCAGATGAAATGGAGCCGGGCAGGGAGCGTGTCGTGGCGCACAGGCACCGGGGAAATCAGACGGTAGTGAGGACGGAAGTGCGGCCAGTGTGTAGCAGGAAAGACTCCTTTGGCCTGGATGGACGCTGGACAACTGACTCTCCTCGAGGCTGCCAAGACGCGACGGCCATGCCTCCTCATCCCCGATGCCTATAGCCCGACTAAGGGGGGCCGCGCCGCGGGTCGAGCGTTTCAAGGGCCACGACGGAACTCGTCGGAGAGAGCGTTCATTGCCTGGGCTGTGACGGCCCAAATGGGCGAGTCCTGCATAAGCTCTGCGGACGAGACGACGACAACGAGAACGGCCGCTGCACTACCACTTACTCAACGCCCATGGCGATAGCACGATGTGATGTGATGTGATGGAGCATTTAGTGTAGAGAGGGGGAGGCAGAGGGAAGGGGGAGGAACGCGTGACAGGCCAATCAGCGGCCGCCTGCTTATGCGCCTCTTTTTGGCAGAGCCACTCTCTCTCTCCACTTGCACCGCCATCCATCCATCAATTCCACTCACAGCTCTCTCGCACAGCCATGGCAGCGGCACGACTGCAAATACTTACTTACTGTATGTACTGTGTAAAATAAATAATTGGCAGCCGACGCGCACACGTTCGTTAGCGTTTCGTTTCGCAGAGGCCATGTCCTTGGGGCCTTGGGTGGTGCCCTGGCCTACCCTGCGTCATTGCCCTGCTTTGCCTGCCCTCTGCACGGGGAGAGTCAATCAAGCACTCAATCACAACACAGACAGCACACGGTGGTTGCTTGGCCTCGCCAATAGCATACGAAGGACAGCAGACTATTAACTATTCAGAAAACATCACAGTTGGGACCGCGCACAGGCACAAGCACGGCCAAGATAGGCAAGCACCGAACCGCTTGAGCCTTGTCGCGCGCGCTTCTAGAAGGCCGCGTTTCAGGGCCTCCCCGGCCTCTCACCACCTGCACCCACCCACGCGGCTCGCTTCGTCTGCCATCGCCTTGCTACCACGGGAGATTTGCCATTTTGCTCATGACGACATGCCGCCGTTGTCTTCATTTCATTTTTGCCTTACTTTGCTTTGCTAAACACGCTACCCTGCCCAGCCGTCCGGCTTGCACGTCGATGCGCTGGAGACATGGCGATCTGCATGTACACACGCCATGCTTCTTTGCCCACCGCCCACCCAGCGACCCATCCGCATGCAAATTTCGCCAAACGCCAACCATGCAATCAATGTGTAGCTGCTGACCGCCGTCTTGTCCAAACTGCCTCCTAATCACCCTTCTCCCTGCCCATGCGCCTGCCCACGTGGCCGAGGCCCTCATTTGGCATAGCGCTTGACCCAGTCCTTTGCGTTCTTGTCAAACTCCTGACGGTTCTCCCGGTACTCGTTAGCAATCGACGGCTCAATCGCATCGTCTGGGTTAGGCTCAATGAGCAGCGTCTGGATCAGGCGCAGCACAGAAACCACCTTGTTCGGCGGCTTCCACTCGTCCGCGCGTAGCAGGCCCAAACACATGGAGCCCTTGTCGTCGTTACTGACGTTGGGATGGTAGATCTTGGTCCGGAAGCTGACCACAGGCGGCTTGAACGGATACTCGGTTGGGAATGTAATCTCGAGCTTGAAGTGGCCGCCCTACATTGACACAGTCGTCAGCGGGCGGTGTTCCCGTATACACGGAGGCTGTCTGTCAGCAAAAACACATACAGCATATGCAGACTGCTCGGGACCATCCATCAACACTTCCCATTTGGTCATGTTCTGTTCGTCAAAATTGATCTTCATGCCCGGCGGGGTGTCAGCCATGCATTCGCCGTACTCCTGCCCAGCTTGTTAGCCGTCTGGCTTGTGCGGCACTACACACGACCATCACAGGCTTGCCTTTAGGATGCGCTTCTTGGCTCCGGTGCTCATGGTGGCAGTGCGTTGGTCGACCGTCTGTCGTGCACTAGGGTTCGATAGCAAGCTGCGACGCCTGGTCTTGCCGGCTTTGTATTCCGGAGCAGCAACGAGTGTTTTGTACCGCACAAGGCAAGACAAGTGGCCTAGTCGAAAGGAATGAATGAACAAGCACAAACTTGGTGGGGATGGTGTGTATGTACAGGGCAAGCGGTGTGCAGAGTGGCACAGGATGCGTGCGTGAAGAGAGTGGAAGAGAGAAAGATGGATGTGGGGAAGGTTGGCTATGAATGACGAGGTGCTTGGGTTGGGATTCCTTAGTCAAAGCTCCGCATGCGGGCCGGCAGAAGGGTCATCAGCCTTCACTGGGTGGCGGCTGCAGGTGCTCGCTAGCATTTGCTCGTCGTTTTCAGTCTGCGCGATTGTCCCTACTTACTCTGCTACTCTACTAAAGAGGCGAGCAACTTGTCTCTGCTGCCATGGGCATTGTGGCACTGACAACCAACGACGTCATTGGAAACACTCGGAGCAGGCCCGTATCGGTACTACTACGCCGCCTCATTCAACACATTGGAACGAACAAGCGAGCCCTCCAGGCGCAACCCCGGCTTGCTCGCGACTTTGTTGTTTACAGGACAAGCATGCGTCTTTTGCAGCCAACGACACCTAGTTGGGCGCGCCAGATGCAAGTGGAGCAGCCTAGCGGTTAGCGGGCAACAGCGAAGCGCCCGTTGTGAGGGCAGCATAAGAGTGGCCCGCCGTGATGCAGAGTAGGTCGGCATGGCATTGCAGAGCGGGCGTTTGCAATGCAACTCGACGGTTATGCTCAGCACCTCATACAGCACTGGCACCCAACATGTTCCATGATGGCGTAATGACTCACGGTTGTGCACAAGCGCAACTCAATGCCCCCGCGTTTCCAAGTGCCTCGTCTCCATTGCCGACTTGCACGCACTCTGCTGCGCCTAACAAACTTACTCGTCGTCACATGAGTCACAAAGGGTCCCAGCAGACGAAGCGCCCAGCTGCAACCCCCAACGGCTTGATCCAAATGTCACGTTACACCGCGACATGAACGCGATGCGCATCCTTCACAACCATTGCCCAACACGGCCTCGTGTCTGTCAAGATCGGACCCCACCCACCAAGCCGATCATATCTTCCTCCCGGTGCGATCCTGGCCTTGGCGAAACTCATCGTCACGTGGCCCTCGTATCGTCGGTGTTTCGCTTACGGCCCTCACTGTCGCTTTCGTGTGTGTACATGGACCGGACCAAACAAACACCATGCATGCGCCACATTAGGCTATACCCGAACAACGTGCCGAATCAAAAGGCTGCACACAACGTTGCCTTGCTGCCTGATTCCCACATGCATCCAGTCGTGCCGCCGCCCGTCGCCATCGACGAGTAAAAACACCCATCTGCATGCTACACAGCCCAACGCTAGCCGTCGACGCTGCAGGGATGCCACTTGGCGACGGCAGTATTTAATCCTCGGCCTCCCCGCCATCTCGGCCCTTACGCCTCACGACAAGCGAGTTCGACAACCAAAGTGTGCTTTGTCTTCACCACCAGTGTGGATAAACACGCTTAAGCTCTTCGAATCCTCACTGACTTTTCTCCCCCGAAAGGTTTGCGAGTTCGAGAGTTTCCAGAGCTCCCAACTTCACATGAACGTTGCGTCACACTAACCTGTCCACTCTTTACGAGAAACNCCCCCCCCCCCTCTCGCTTCAGTCGCTCGCTTCATCATGTTCGGCAAGCGTTCTTTGGCTAGTTCAAAGGACAAGGACCGTTCAGGCAAGATCACCAAGCAGCCAAAGAGATCGTTTCGCGATGCCTCCAAGCAAAAGGCCATGGCCGAGAAGCTGGATGCACGCAAGGACAGCCCCATGATGGACGGAGGTTCACCGCAGCTGACCTCTGCCATTGTGACAGTCATCGTTGGTTCCGACCAGCGACTGTTCGCGGCCCACGAAGATGTACTGTGCCATTCTCCGTACTTTGCTGAACTGCTGCGGAGCCAGTTCTTCGAGTCAACTAACCGCCGCATCGATCTGCCCACGGAAGAGCCTGAAATCTTCAGTTGCATCCTCGAGTATCTGTACAAGGGAGACTACTACCCCCGCCTTGTCCACGACAAGCGGCGCCAGACCTGGATGCTCGAAGGTGCAATTGCCTCACCCGACCCCAACAAAACCGGCGACCGCGCTGCCGCAGTCGAGCCAACCTTTTTCCACACCGGCGCGGGAGACGTTCTTCTCCGTGACACTGCTGTGTACTGCGCTGCCGATCGTTACGGCCTTGAGGAGCTCAAGAAGCTCTCCCTGCGCAAGCAGGGCCTGCAGAGCGGGATCGAGGTCGGAACAATCCTGCGTAGTGCGCGCTATGCCTATGAGAACACGCCAGACAGCGACTCGCGGCTGCGCGCTCATTACCTCGCTCTGATTATCCGCAGTCGGAAAACCTTCAAGCGTAGCGGAACCATGCAGATGGAGATGGAGATGGGAGGAAAGCTGTTCTTTGACTTGTTCGTGGCCATGTGCAATCATGTCGATGATCTTGTGGATGCGAGGTATGCCTTTGCGCTTTTCCTCTTTGTCTTGACCGTTTTCTTCATTTGATATATACTTGGCCGTGATGTAGAATCCTTTGCCACTGACACTTTGCCAGCGCCTCCGCTCGCGGCACTCCCAGGACCATCTGAAGACCCCGGTTGCACACTAGTCCCATCACTCGTCATTGTATACAAGCCGCCCCCGACAAAATACCACACAACCACCCTCGCACACACAACCCGGAGTATCACACCCAAGTTGAGCCCAAGCCTTTGATCTCCGCGTCAACCCCCAATTTGCCGATAAGCGACCCTAAAACCGTGAAAACCAACACAAAAAAACATGGAATCGGAGTAATAACAGGGGTTGATTCCCTTCTCTTTTCCCTGCTTTTCGAAATCGGCGCACTAGTTGTTGTTGCATCCTCCTCTCAACCTCGTTTCTGCTACTTGTTTACCGTCCCTTAGCAGTGTGGTACTTTTTGCTCACCCCATCTCCTCTCCCCTCTCCCGAAGACTCCTTCAAAAGAAAAAAAAGGTCGTTCCTTTTTTTTAAGATTTTGTTTTTTCCCTCCCACCCGTTTTTTATTAACGACTATCATGGCCAAGTTCTTGTTTTGTTCGCTCTCCCCCCCCCCTTTTAGTTTCCCTCTTCTTCTCTCCTCTTGCCTGCGGCTGGGGGAGAAGAGATAAGAGGAGTACAACTGACGAAACTGCGTTTCCTTTGTTTTACGAAAGAAGGAAGGGGGATGGATGGAATGTCCCGTTGTCCATTTGTCGTTTTTTATCTACACCCGCGGGGGGAAAATAATTTCTTCCAAATGTCTTTTGGTGAAACTGCTTGGTTGTTTTAATTTTTTGTATACATCTGCGATGATTGATTTGCGTTGCATCGCACTGAAGGACTTTTGGGACTTTTTTTTTCTTTGCCTCTTTCCCACCTGGTGGAGAGAGATAGAGAGAGAAGGTCTTTTTGTTTGTCCGATGTGGTGTTTTGTCGCAAGTCGATTGAGACCGCTTGAAATAAGGGGATCCAGACTGTGGAAAGGGGAATTAGTCTTAGCGGTGGCAATAATGAGAAATCCCAGGCCGCCTCTATATTGTTATGTTCTTTGAGATTCATTTACGTGTGATGTCGTGTATGTCTTTTTTTCTTACATCGAACCTGATTCTATATCTATTATCACTAACAAAACAGCTCCACCCTACAATCCGACCTCAAACGCCCCATCAATCAAACTCCAAAACTGCTCTACAATCTCCCTCTGCCCCTCTCCTCCTCTAACCGCCAGATACCTCTGCCCCTCAACTTTCGGCTCCCAATTTCCCGGATTAGCATCCACCATAATCCCCCCAGCCTCTTTCAAAATAACCCATCCAGCACACACATCCCACGCCCAGCATCCAGCCTCCCAATAGACATCCAGCCCGCCACTAGCGACACCACACAGATTGAGGGCCGCAGACCCAAACGACCTCAGCCCATGCACCATGCCACCGCCATTTTCCTTAGTCGCCGCCAACCGCTTAAACGTCTCACTCTTGACCCTAAAATCATTCCCGCTGCGATCACTCCCCCACTCCACCGCCACAAGACACTGATCCAACCCCTCCAGCCTCTGCGGCTCGCCTCCTAGCGGCAATCTCGTCGTGCGATTCAAATACGCGCCCTGCCCTTTTACGGCTGAATAGAGCGTTTGCGTAAAAGGGTTGTATACGACGCCGACGACCGGCTCGCGGTTTACGGCGAGCCCGAGCGAGATGCAGACGTAAGGGTAGCGGTGTACGAAGTTTGTGGTGCCGTCGATGGGGTCGCAGATGAAGGTTGGGTTCGCGGTTAGCACGTCGCCTGGTTTGTAGGTTTCTTCGCCCATAAAGGAGAAGGTGGGGTAGGTGGAAGTCAGGGAGGTGGAGATGAGAGATTCGACTGCGCGGTCGGTTTCGGTTACGAGGTCGACGGCTGCGTGGGAGTGTTAGTATAGGTGTGGTTTGGGGTGAAGAAAGGCTGGGTTAAGTACAATTCTTCTTTGAGCCAGACTCCGAGGTTGTGGGTTTGGCGGCGACGATGCGTTCGCCTGCTTCTTTGGCGATGGAGATCATGAAGTCGTGGATTTCGTTGAGGTTGAGGTCTGCCATTTTGTCGAATTGTGCTGGAGGTTGACAAGGGAGAAGGGGGGAGTTGAAGTTTGGGATTGAAAATGAGATGAGAGCTTTCGTTATGTAGGATTGTCTAATGTTCTTTGTTCACCTACAGCTAGCTAGTACCCTTGTTACCCCTCGGCGGGGCACATGCAGGGTCCACTTACCGTACCACGTGGGGTAATAGCGATTGTCAACGGGCGTACTTGCGTCTGGTATTTGTTGTTCTATGGTTTCTACTTGAAGCAAATTTGGCGGAATGTTGTCTTGTTTAAACAACGAAAAGAAATACTGGAGCATTTTTGCAATTTATGGAGCATTACAATACAGCTAAATACTATACATCTCGTTGGATTTAGAATAATCTGGGGGCTTTTCCTCAGACCACCAAGATTCAAAATTATCGGAAAACTCTCAAGCCTTGGTCTCAACTGTATAGCTGCCAACCTTCTTTTCCTCCTGTTCCAACTCCTCAGCTATAACATCAGCAGGAATACGGTCTGGTGTTTGGTTGACTAAAACGAGCATTGGACCGAACGCCAACGCCATTAGACCAAATGTAACGCAGAAACCAATCATTGGTGATGTCTTAATCTGAGTATTCATACCATAAGATATAGCCTGGCCAACAGCTTCGAGAGCGCGGAATGCAGCACCATTGCGAACATTTGCTATACGAAGTCAGTTCACAACATCCCAGAACATGTGTAAGACGGAGACAACAAACCTTGAGCATCAGTTGCAAAAGAGGAGAGCAGCCAGTACATGTACGACTGCGACAACGGGCCTGTGGTCTGAACGAAAAAGTATGGCAGGAAAGTCCGCGCATATCTCGACTCGTCCCAATCAATCTTGCCAGGGTTGTGGCTATTGAACCCCGCTTGAATAACGATTGACCAGATGTAAACGCCGAGGTTTAGGAGAACGACAGTCAGAAGGCCGATTTGGGCACGACGACGCTGGTTTAAGCCTTTCATGTCGAGAATGAAACCCAGACCGAAGCATCCAACGATGCAGAAGAAAGGCGAAATGAGAGAAGAGAGGGCGCGAGCTCGGACGCTGAAATAGGTTGCAAGATATGTTGACCAGGTGCCACTAATTATTCGTTAGCAAGATTGTAGCTTCATAAGAGAGACTTCACAACTAACCCATAGAAAAATGACCAGATGGCCCAGAGCGCGGACAACAAGATGAGTTTTGAAGTCATGGTAACCCTAATCTGCTTGATCTCCATCTTGGTGCCTATCTTCTCAGAAACGAGAATCCGCGTCCCGTCTGAGCGGACTACTCTCTCAAGCGGCGAAATGAGAAAGGCGAACGGTAGTGCCATGCACTCGATGATAAGGAAGGCGATGTAGGTATCCGGTGTTACACCGCCAACAACTCCCTTTTCGTGATTCTTTGACAGACTGTAAAGTGCCAGTGTTAGTTTTGGTCTCAGGAGATTGGAACAGTAATGCCTTACTTGATCGCCCCACCCACTAGTTGTCCCAGATTGCGGGCAACAATCCAAAGAGCCAAGTACTTGCCACGAGATCCTGATGGAGCGAGCGACATGATTGTACCGGATTCGGCAACATACCATGTTCCCGTTCCAATGCCTGTAAAAAATCCGCCTAGGATAAGGTACCATTGGTTACCAAATTTTGAGTTGCAGTAGTATGACGAGCCTCGGATAGGGAATGAGCAAGCGCCAATGACGAGAGCCCATTTTGTGCCCAGCTTGTTTACGATGGGACCGCCCAAGGCACAGCAGAGTGCAAGCATAGTGTAGTTGACGGCAGTTGCAATATTTGAGGTTTGAGGAGTGGCTAGACCACCTCCACCAAGGCCTGGAATCATGTTAGTTATACATTTAGATTATATATTGACCAAGGAAGCTGACCAGCAATAGCATCAGCCATGGCGGGACCACAAAAGGCTTGAACACTCAGCAGAAGCATCTGCGTCAAGCTATTTTGCCAAACTCTTTTCCATAATGGCACAGTCCGCGCATATTCTTCTTGATTGATCCTCTCATCTGCGACTAGATGCGAGGGTAGCGGAGCATTCCATGAGTCGTTGCCCTTGGTACGAAAGGCATCATCGTCGCCACCAGCGTGGGTGTTGGAGGGAGCAGCGTCAAACTTGGACATCTTGGGCGACTCCAACAAAGATCACCAAAGAATATTTCAGCCAAAGAAATACTGGGAGGTCGACCTCTGAACTGAGATGATCCCAAAGAAGCCTCACGCGACCCTTTATATATACGATCTTCGTCCCGCAACGTCTGCCATGCTCGTCTATCATACTATCTGATATCCCGGCTTATCTGTGGATCCCGGGGCTAAATTACCCCAACTCCGGGGTAAATCAAGTCGTTCTATCCAGCTGATAGGGACTGTGGAGTCCATGGTTTCGGTGACAAGCGGAATGCCGAGGGGAACGAACGTCTGGAAGATCAATCGGACTAGGCTTAATATGGTAGTGCGAACAGTCGGGAAAAGTGGAGGCAAGAGCTAAGGCGGACAAGGAATGGTAAAGAGACGCTAGACATGGCAGTCAGGCCTTGCGAGGCTTGTTGTCGGGCCTTTGCGGTTGTAAAGCAAGGCGCGAGTCAGGCGTTACATCGCTCCGCGGGTGACTTGGTACCTCGATAGGACATTGGCATTGTTGATATCTGATCGGATCCAGTGTAGACCCAGTATTGTGTTATCAGGGCGCGATATGTCAATAAGGCAATGGCACATTCAGTGCTCCATCTTTGGAGACACGGGCTGGCCCCTCATTGAATGACCATGTGCTGACGTCCAATAATCTAGCCTTATTGGGAGATAATAACAGTCGGGATCATCAAGCGAGAGCCAAGCGCCATCTTCATTGCCGAGTGTCGCCTCCAACCGACGGTACGTGGAGTAGACAGCCTCGATTACTTAATTGAAACTTGTCTGAGCTCGCAATTGAGCGGGGAGTATGCCTCGATATCGTATCATCGAGCTGGTGGCGTGTGCAGACTTCATTGATACTTAACCGGCGGGCGTTTGGGGCGTGACCCATTGTGGATTGCCTCTGATCACGACTTGCGCCTCCGACCAGAAAGACTTTCAGCTTCCCGGGAATACTACCATAGCCAAGCGTTGTTTCATTATGGCACCTTCAAGAGCGAACACGTCTGTTATTGTTGTCGGTGGTGGTGGCACTATTGGCTCCTCGACAGCTCTTCACCTTGTCCGTTCTGGCTATACACCGTCAAATATCACCATCCTCGACACATATCCTATCCCATCATTGCAATCGGCCGGAAATGACTTAAATAAGATCATGGGAATCCGCTTGCGGAACAAGGTCGATCTCCAGTTAAGTCTAGAAGCTCGTCAAATGTGGAGAGAAGATGAGCTATTCAAAGAGTATTTTCATAATACTGGGCGGGTACGTACAGCTGGTAAGACGATATGTTTGGGGCTATGGTCTGACAGTAGCATAGTTGGATTGCGCTCATGGCGAGACGGGACTTGTGGATTTAAAACAAGCATACCAAGCTCTCCTCGACGCCAACGCTGGACTCGAGAAAATAACGGAATGGCTTGACTCAGAAGACGAAATCCTCAAGAAAATGCCACTTCTAGATCGCGAGCAGATCAAGGGTTGGAAAGCAGTGTACAGCCAAGATGGCGGCTGGCTCGCCGCAGCAAAAGCCATCAACGCGATAGGTGAATACCTACGCGACAGCGGAGTCAAATTTGGATTTGATGGCGCTGGTTCGTTCAAGCAACCTCTTCTGGCTGAGGGAGTATGCATTGGCGTCGAGACAGCAGATGGGACCAGGTACTATGCTGACAAGGTTGTACTTGCAGCTGGCGCCTGGAGTCCTGTACTGGTTGATTTGGAAGAGCAGTGCGTTTCAAAAGTAGGTTTTCCACCAATGCGATACTTCATTTCCACATCTGACACTGTTAGGCTTGGGTATATGCTCACATACAACTCACACCGGAAGAAGCAGCAGAATATAAAAACGCACCTGTAGTATACAACGGCGATGTCGGCTTCCTTTTCGAGCCCGACGAGCACGGTGTCATCAAAGTCTGCGATGAGTTTCCAGGCTTCACGCGCTTCAAGCAGCATCAGCCATATGGCGCTAAAGCACCAAAACGTATCTCTGTGCCCAGGTCGGCAGCAAAACACCCGACTGACACCTACCCCGATGCTTCTGAAGTGAGCATCCGCAAGGCTATTGCGACCTTTCTACCCAAGTTCACCAAGAAGGAGCTATTCAATAGGCACCTGTGCTGGTGCACAGATACGGCCGACGCTGCGCTGTTGATGTGTGAGCATCCCGAATGGAAAAACTTTGTGCTTGCTACTGGAGACAGCGGGTATGTATCCCAAATTTTGGTACTTGACAATATATACTGACCGAATCTGTTTAGTCATACTTTCAAGCTGTTGCCAAATATCGGCAAGCATGTCGTGGAGCTGCTCGAAGGTACGCTAGCAGATGATCTAGCACATGCGTGGAGATGGCGGCCTGGTACTGGTGATGCATTGAAGTCGAGAAGAGCAGCGCCGGCAAAGGACCTATCAGACATGCCTGGCTGGAAGCACGATGAGGCTGTCAAGTCTAAGTTATAGCGCGCTGATCATTTTTCACTGAGAGCTATGAAGACTCTTCACCTAGTGTGTTCAATATAGTAATTAGTTCTAGATATTCGACACCATCCAACGGAAGTAGATCTAAACTCTTAATCGTGCAAATTCCTTGGTATCAAAGTAAAAGAAGGTACAAAGATGAATCACTGCGCCACCCCTTAGTGTCTTGAACAACAAGAGCAAAGCGTGTCTATTAGGTGAGCAGTGTAAGGTATACTTGCCGAATTAGCTGACTTCCATCTCTCAGGTCAAGCTTCCAGTAACGGTAATCATGCCCTTCAAGGAACAACGGTTGCCAAGGTCAGTTCGAATATATCGGGGAAGTCCAGCTTGGTAAGGTCGGGCAGGTGTATCTGTGCTTAGATGTTGCCAGGAAAGCGTGATTCAACACAACTGGCAAGAATGTTGACAGACTAGTTGCCTGTCTCTGGGCCCTTAAGTACCACCGCTTGTCTCCGTCTTTACTCTTCTTACTTCACTACATCGTTATCACTACTCAAGAACTCACCGCTTTTAACTTTTATATTAAGCCCATCACTCAAGTCACAACCAACAATACCTCTCGTTGCCAAATCCACAATACCGTTACCCCTCCGTCATCCATGCAACCGCCCTCGGTGCAAACACTTCACCAATATCTCAGCTAGACATCCCTCAGGGCGACCATGGAGGGACGAGCAGCCAAAATTCTGCATGGCCTGGACGAAAGCCTCCCAATGACACCTAGCCGAAAATGGAGCCTCGCTGCCATCATCGTTGCTATCCCTGTCTTTGTGTTCTTGTTCGCAATGTGCTTTAAACGTTGGGGAGACTGGTGTCCTTGTGACAAGGAAAGGGACAGACCCGATGCACCAGCAGCAGGGCCGACGATTGGAAATGGCTCACTTCGAGTCGGTAACATCGAACTGGGTACGGTCAACGTAGATCGAGATGCGGCAGACCAGACACAGCCTGGACCACATTCAAGTCCACCAAGTCAAATTCTACCCGGTCCAGCTCTATCCAGTCCAGCTCTACCCAGTCCAGCTCTACCCAGTCCAGCCCTACTCAGTATAGGTCTACCCAATCCAGGTCTACCCAGTACAAGTCTACCACGTTCAGCTCAACCCAGTTTGGAACACACCACGGCACGAAACTCGGAGAATCGGCGAAGCAGCAATGGGCAAAGCGAACGACGTCGAATTTTGCAAGAAGAAGCTGCCGCGATAGTCGAGAGAACGTGAACGCAGCCTCGGTTTCAATGCACGTTGTCGATGTTTGTTATAGTTCTTGGAGGCTCAAGCAATGGGAATGAATGTTTCTTAGCAATGACAAGACACATGTTCTAGCCATCCAATACAGTACATGTTTATGATCGATTCCATTACAGGCGTCTATTCTTGTGACTCTACCTGTGAATGTCGGGCGTAGTCTGATGTAACAACAGCCATGAATCTGCACGTCGAGTAAGCTGGGAACACGCTAGCGGGCCGGACCTCGGCATGTTGAGCAGTGAGGCCGGGGTTCGCGGTAGAACTACTCCGCATTTCAAGAATGGCCAGCTCTCATAAATCCTCAGAATCACTATCTGTATAAGCCTTGGACTTTTAAGTATCGCCTAAACAAACTCTCAACTTGTACCACTACGTGTGTATAGCAAAACATGTCATCTTCGAAGCGCGTGGAGCAGATTGCTGGTCACCTCAACTACCCCAAGGGTATGTTGGCGGGCCAGACTGCCATTATTACTGGATCTGGACAGGGAATCGGAGCTGAGGCGGCGAAGCTGTTTGCGAAGGAGGGCGCAAAGGTTGTGGTTGCTGATGTAGACGCAAGTGGGTCAATAGAGCGCATATGGAATATCTCACGGGCCTGTTGCTAACATGTACACAGAAAAGGCCGAAGCGGTAGCTTCTGAAATCAACTCTTCAGGCGGCAGCGCAATAGCAGTAGCAGGCGACGTTCTCGACGATGCCTACATCAAGACTCTGATCTCCAAGGCGGCCGAGTTTGGCGGAGGCAAGATCCACATCATTGTCAACAATGCGGGCTACACATGGGATGGCGTCATCCACAAGATGACGGACAAGCAGTGGCAGACAATTGTCGACTTGCACGGGACGGCACCGTTCAAGATTGTGCGCGCTGCAGCGCCGTATTTCCGGGTCAAGGACGGCGAGCCCAGGAACATTATCAACATCTCGAGCACGAGCGGCTTGAACGGAAATGCTGGGCAGATCAACTATGCGCTGGCCAAGGCGGGTGTGCAGGGCATGACCAAGACAATTGCCAAAGAGTATGTCCTCTCTTTTGTGTTCTCCCTCCGTCAACATATATGCTAACGTATATCTAGGTGGGGCCCTCAGTTTGGCGTGCGGGCAAACACGGTCGCTTTCGGACACATCCAGACGCGGTTGACGCAGGCGAAGGAGGCGGGCGCATTTGTGACGACGCCCGACGGCGAGAAGGTGGCACTCGGAATACCACAGGCGCAGAAGAGTGCCGTCCCAGAGAGCCAGCTGTACGCGGACATTCCTCTGCGCAGGCCAGGGACAGCGACGGAGGCGGCGAGCGCGGTGCTGGCTGTTGCGAGCCCACTGTTTAGCTATGTCAACGGAGAGACAATCAAGGTCACGGGTGGTCGGAACATGTAGATGATGTGAAATTGAGTGTGGCTGCGTGCCAAAGTATAAATAATAATAATGGCAATTGTGATTCCAGTCTCAAACGCGGGCTGTGGTGGAATGGAATGGGGGGTTTCGAGTACCAAGGCCTTAGGACATGACAGGGACTCGGCGGCGGACGCTGATCCGCAACGCCATCCCCAGACGCCTCAGCAATGGTCTTTTGGCAACATTGAGACCAGACATAATCACTGGCCTTTTTTTGCTGCATTGTCGCGCCTATTCATACCCGCTTGTTGCCGCCATTACTTCTAGCCACCTCTTCCAACATGTCCATGTGCAATCGGTAACCCCATTCCATCCATCTGCATCGCTCGTACCAAGTATTCGCCCGCGGGCGAGCATCCCCTACCTACCAACACGTTGCGCAACGCCGCACTTAATCCCACCAGGACCACGGTCCTTACCAGCTCGCCATGAGCGACGAAAAGCACAACTACGTCCGCGAGCCCTCGCCGCCCCCCATCCCCACATATGACGAGGCCACCTCGTCGCGCAATGCGCCGGCACGCCTAGGACCAAACGAGATCAGCGACGACGCCGAGCGGCAGGGTCTCCTAACCCCAGATGTTCGCACACAGTCCGACTCACGGAGACGCAATGGATACTACCAGCCGCCTTCGGTCCAGTCGGTCGACGATGGCGACTCGGACCTGGGCAGCCCGGTGCGGGAGAGCCAGGACGAGGCCCTGCGCCAGACTATGGAGGAGATGGAGATATTAGACCCGGAATCCGCAGAGGAAGGAAGATCGAGGAGGAACCGAACGCGAAATCGCTTTTCCAAGCGTTTCAACAGCATACGGCACTCGCTGTCGAATTGGAACCTACCCCGGATACCATGGCCGACATGGCGTCCCAACTTCAGTGCCGTCACTGATCATATGCCTACTATATCCGAGGAATACAGGCCGGGCTGGGCTATGTTTGCGCGTCTGCTCGGCCTCTTTGTCATTGTTATACTCGTGTACTTCTTGGTTGCCAGTGAGGTGGTGCCCATGGGCGGCGGCTTCGGCACACCCTTTAATCCAGAGTGGATACGCCAAACGGCCGTCGAGGGCGTCGAGAGCTGGCGAATTGAAAAGAATCTCGAATACATTACGAGCTACGATCACATTGGCGGCACAGAGGGAAGTTATGTGCTGGGACAGTGGATCGAGGGAAAATTCAAGGACGCGAACATGGACACTTTTACACATGACGAGTATGTCAGACGGGAATGGGGAATTCCCCACAATATGCTGACTTGGACAGATACTTTGTTTATATGAACTACGCAAAGAAAGATGGCCGAAAAGTTGCCATTGTCGATCCACCCGATAAGGCTTGGGAAGCAAAACTCGAAGAGCCGTCCGTTTTCAACCCACCGAAAGCTCAGACGCCTGCCTATCACGCAATGTCGGCGTCTGGAAATGCTACTGGACCTCTGATTTATGTCAACTACTGCCACAAGAAGGACTTTAAGCGGTTATGGGACAGTGGCATTGATGCGCAAGGTGCAATTGTGCTCTGCCGATACTACGGAACGCAGCCAGATTTGGCCATGAAACTAAAGTCTGCGCAGGATGCGGGCGTAGCTGGTGTTCTGGTGTACTCCGATCCGGCAGACGACGGATTCAAAAACGGCAACCCCTGGCCTGACGGCAAGTGGCGACCTGGTGAGAGCGTACAGCGAGGCTCAGTTGCCCAGACCAACATGATTATGGGAGACATACTCACACCTGGAAAGCCGAGTTTGAAGAAAATGGAGCGCATGTCCCGGGACAAGAACCTAGCAGTGCCAAAGATTCCTAGTCTACCCCTGTCGTGGAAGGATGCGCAGAAACTACTTCAGTCACTCAACGGCGTTGGTGAAGAACTTCCGGATGAATGGGTCGGTGGTGTGCCAGATATTGGCGATAAGTGGTACTCTGGCCATCCGGAAAAGTCACCCAAGGTTTATATCCAAAACAATCAGGATGAAGTGGAGCAACAGCGTATTACAAACGTTTTTGGATCCCTCAAGGGTACAGAGGACCCAGGCCGGAAGATCATCATCGGAAACCACCGAGATTCATGGTGTTTTGGTGCAGCCGACCCTGGCTCTGGTACAGCAGTCATGCTTGAAGTTGTACGCGTACTCGGCGAGCTTCGTGCTCAGGGCTGGCGACCTCTGCGTACTATCGAGTTTGCATCCTGGGACGCTGGCGAGTACAACCGCATCGGATCCACCGAGCACGTTGAAGCCAACGTCGACGCCCTCCGCGATGGCGCCATCGCCTACCTCAACCTCGACGTTGGCGTGACCGGCTCCAAACTCTGGGCCAACGGCTCCCCCATCTT